ATCTATCTATCTATCTATCTATCTATCTATCTATCTATCTATCTATCTATAATCTATATCTAATCTATCTATCTATCTATCTCTATCTATCCATCCATCCATCCACCCACCCACACACACACACACACACACACACACACATGAATTTAATGTAATGCTGACATGGTATCCCTGCTCTGCAAGATGCATAGTTATATATATGAAGTGTGTGTAATGTTATGCCAATGGATATTTTGCTTTCTCTAATGGTTGAGGAGTCGCTCCTATAGCAATTATACTTTCCTATATGTCATTTGAAGGGAGGGGGTGGCTCAGTGGCTAAGACACTGAGCTTGTCGATCAGAACGGTCAGCAGTTTGGTGGCTCGAATCTCTAGCGCCGCGGAATGGAGTGAGCTCCCGTTATTTGTCCCAGCTTCTGCCAACCTAGCAGTTCGAAAGCACATAAAAATGCAAGTAGAAAAATAGGGACCACCTTTGGTGGGAAGGTTGGGCTTTGAAACCGGGATGAGTAATGCCCCCTAAAGTCAGGAACGCCTAGCACAAAAGTCTTCAAACTTGGCAACTTTAAGACTTGTGAATTTCAACTCCCGGCATAGCTGCCTGGAGAATTCTGAGAGTTGGAAGTCCACAAGTCTTAAAAGTTGCCAAGTTTGGGGACCGCTGGACTAGCACATATGTGCGGAGGGGAACCTTTACCTTTTAAAGCTTATTGCAACGACGCGCCTAACGCGCTCCTTTCCTTAGTAAAGGGATAAGGAGAAAGCGAACCGCTTTGAGACGAGCAGGTTGCAGAAGCCTCGATTCCGCTCTTTCTTAACCGGCACGCGGTCCTTCGCTTCCGCGGTCCCGGGCAGGGTCTCCTCCCAAAGGGGCGGGGCTCGTGAACGCTCAAACACAAGTTTGGGCGAGGCGGCCGTAGGGAGTTTCCGGGCTGAGACAGTCCGCGGAAAGCAGCGTCAGAGAGTTATGGAGAGTGGCGGGGGCGCCTACGGAGCCGCTAAAGCGGGAGGCACGTTCGACTTGTGGCAATTCTTGCAGCAGCCACAGGTCATTGCACGCATTTTCAGCGCGGTGAGTGTGAGTGGCTGAGGTTGGTCCCGGAGCCCCGGAGAAGCTTCGAAATCACCAGCGGCGGGCTCCAGCTTGCCGGCGACCGATCCGCTTCTTCTCTTTTCCCTCCCTCTCGCGGGCGCGCGTGGAACGGCCGCTCTCACCTCAGGGTGTGGACAGTGGGTGGAGGGCGTGACGTGGCCGGAGTGCCGGTGGGTTAGGCGTTTCGGCAGCATGAAGTTGGAATCACTAGAGGAGGGTCTGCTTAGTCATTGCGTACCTGGGCTGGGACGACTACCTAGAACAGGGGTCCCCAAACTTGATAACTTTTAAGACTTGTGGACTCCAACTTCCAGAATTCTCCAGGCAGCTCTGCTGGCTGGAGAATTCTGGGAGTTGAAGTCCACAAGTCTTAAAAGTTGCCAAGTTTGAAGACCTCTGCCCTAAGTCTACAGTAGCAGCCGGTGCGCAGGGCATTGCCACCTTTTTTGCAAGGCTATCAAAGCAAGGGAGAGCGGAGCCATGACCGTGCTCGTTTGCTGGTCCTATCCTCGTTACATTGTAAGGAAGCCAGCCAGCCCCTCGCGCTGCCCGGATCCGTCAGCTGACCTCCCTATGACTAGGCTGCCGCACAAACACCGCTGAGTAGAAACGGAGGGGTTTTTAATCAGGCTAATCCGAAGCAAAGCCCCGATCCGTCACCTCCTCCTCAAGGGGTCCCTGCCCGGCGAGGGTCAAAAACACCCGCCTCTTAAGTTTTTGCAACGCGAAGGGCAAGGCCGTTAGGTTTCCCAAGCGGCTCAGCGCCGCCGGGATTTTTGCAGAAGCGAAAACAACGAAGGGAGAGTTGTCTATAAGCAGCCGCCCTGGGTTAAAGCAACAATCCCTCTCCGAGGGAAATTGCGTGACTCTGCACAGCTCCGTTCGGGCTACTTCTAAACTAGAGGTCTTTAAACTTGGCAACCTTAAGCCAGCTGGCTGGAGAATTCTGGGAGTTGAAGTCCACAAGTCTTAAAGTTGCCAAGTTTGAAGACCTCTGATTTTTCGGGAAATAAAGCCTAGGCACCGGAGACAGATAAAAGGACCCATTCAAGTCGAGCTCGACCCGTCCCTCTGGTTTTCGTAGCCAAAACACGGAAGTAGATGGCAGCCGTCTTGTTGACTCTCCTGCGCTCTTTACTTTCTTTTAAAGTAGTGGTGGGAGGTTAGCCTGAAATCCTAGGAAATTTGTATTTGTTAAAGACTTGGAGTCATTTATTCTGCGGCTTTAAAAATAAAAAAGCTTTTAGAAGTTTCTGTCCTTGTCTTCAAACATTGTAGTATATAGGCAAAGCAAGTCCCCCAGGCTCGCAAACAGGCTGCTGTGCTGATTTGTTTTTGAGGGTGTGCTTGATTACCTGTGATGAGCATTCAGTTTGTAGTTTTCCGATCCTGTTTCAACTCCATTCCAATTAACAGGAACCTGGAAATCTTTTAAGGTAGAGTTTCTTGTATTTGTGGAGGGGAAATTGAGAACATTTCTGTAACTAGTGAATTCCTCTTGGGTAAGGGCTATTGCCTGAACACCAGAGCTATATGATTACAGAGTTTTATTGTTGGACCATGATATTTGTTTTGTTTTTTACTCATCTTCCTCTTTATCAAAGCTTTATTTTATGATGTTAACCGACCTAAAGTCTATGGGGATTGGTCAGCATACCAATAAAGTGTGCATATATTACAAGTTGGCTTCTTGCCCTAGCACAACCTTAAACACTCAAAGAGCCATCTGGACCCATTTCCCACAGAAAGGAAAACACCGGGAGCCATCTCAGTTGGCTTTCGACATCTACAATGAAGATAACACTGCATATATTGTTTTTTTTAACCTCTATCCTATGTATTTTTTTAAAAAATCAATGAATTGCTACAGAGAAAACCAATTTTTATTTCTGCCTGCAACAAAAACCTTTTGAAAAAAGATGCTGGGTTGAAGGTTATTTTCAAATAAATTACTCAATGTCTATTTGAGTCCTCTTTAACGTACCATTGTACCATTAAACATTCTGTTTTCTTCTGAAACTTTTCTTTGATTTATCCATGGTTGGCCTTCCTGGAGGTCGAAAAGTTCAATAAATTGCATGCCGGGCGGGTGTTGCGCATTGGCGGTTGTGACGCATGTTTTGAGGTACAGGGAGCCGCAGCAGAGGGATGAAAGAGCCACATGCAGCTCCAGAGCCATGGGTTGCTGCCCCCTGTCCTAGAATAGCACTAGGCATGAGTATTTGAGTTCAAAACTTAGCGGAATCTTTAATTCGGTAAATGGTTATTATTGGATTTTCCTAGGAAGTGTTAAGCATTGACCTTTTCCCCTTCTCTTTTATTATTTTGCAGGTATTTGCACTCATTGTTTTCTCCTGCATCATTGGGGAAGGTTACACCAATTCCGACAAAACCTCTGAGCTTTTCTGCATCTTTAATCACAGTGAGGATGCCTGTCGTTATGGTATTGGCATTGGTGTGGTTGCCTTCCTGGCTTGTGTATTTTTCTTTATGGTCGACATCTACTTTCCCCAAATTAGCAGTGCCACTGATCGCAAGTACCTCGTTATGGCCGACCTAGCCTTCTCAGGTATGTTTCCGGGAGATGTGAACTCAAAGAAGGACCCTGGGGAGAACAGCTGAGTCCTGTCCATGTTCTTTTTTTCTCTTGCAGACTTGGGACAGCATTTCCACTTTTGGCTCCTATTCCTCTGTGTGTGCATGTAATTGTTTAGGTTTTGGAATGATGCCCTCTAAGGTCTGCTTTGTGAAAGTGGCTTTAAGGGAGCAGACCTCATTCTGGGTGCTTCTTCATATGGATAATTGCTGAAGGATAAGAGACCATAGAATTGGAGCCTGTTCTTTGCTTTAAGCTTGAGTCTTATGCTCTGAATAAAAAGTCACTGCTGGTAGTCTTCACTTACTGACTGCAACTGGGACCTGCAATTCTATCACTAAGCAAAGTCATGTGATTGCAATCCTGAAGCACATAACCCAATTAAGTGCGATGTCACTTGACTATAATTTTCAACTTCCTGCTGGTTTCCCGTTGTCGGAAGTTAGCTGTGAGGATTGTAAATGGCAATGTGATTTGACGGCAGAGCACTGTAACTATCACAAATGTGGGTTGCCAAGCACCTGAATAGTGATTATGTGGATGCTACGGCGTTTGTTACATGAACGAATCGCCAGAAACTTCCTTTTTCAGTCCCATAGTAACTTCAGTTATTGAACAAGCAGTACTTTATAACTTCTCGCACTACAATTTCCCTCAGTCTCTGCCATCATTGCCAATGATCAAGAACACTGGGCTATTGTTCAAAGGGTTTGAAGGATATCATATTGCCTAATGCCTATCATGAAGTTAGAATGAAGCCTGCCCATGTTCTAGACCAGAGGTCCTCAGTTCACAGACCATCACTAGTCCACAGCCTGCCAGGAACTGGGCCATGCAAGTCAGCGAAGCCCCATCTGCACACGTGGGATTCAGGCAGTGTGTGGACTAGTGATGGTCTGTGAACTGAGGACCTCTGGTCTAGAACATGGGCAGGCTTCATTCTAACTTCATGATAGGCATTAGGCAATATGATATCCTTCAAACATCCCCTGATCCATGAAAAAGCTCCGCCCTCCACAAAACTGGTCTCTGCCGCCCAAAAGGTTGAGGGGCCGCTGCTTTAGACCATTTGTCTAAAGTGGCCAATGCTGACTTGGAATCCCCCCCAAAAGAATAGAAATAGCACTTACACTTATATACCATTTCACAGTGCTTTTACAGCCCTCTCTAAGCAGTTTACAGAGTCAGCCTATTGCCCCAACAATCTGGGTCCTCATTTTACCCACCTCAGAAGGATGGAAGGCTGAGTCAACATTGAACCAATGAGATTCAAACAGCTGAACTGCTGGCAATCGGCAGTCAGCAGTAGTAGTCTGCAGTACTGCACTCTTAACCACTGCACCACCACGGCTCTTCAAGAATATCTGAATAGGATTAACGTACTGTACTGTAACTTTTCATAACTATAGTCAAAATGTTACTTTCCTGCTATCATGTAATCTATAAGGATGTGTTCTCTTGTCCTCTGTCTAGCTGTTTGGACCTTTTTGTGGTTTATTGGATTCTGTGTGCTGACAAACCAGTGGTCATCAACGCAAGCTAAAGATGTAAGAATTGGGGCCGATTCTGCCCGTGCATCGATTGCCTTCAGTTTCTTCTCCATTTTTTCATGGGTGAGTAAAGAGTTTCTTCCTCTGTCTCAAGAAAGCCCAAGGGTGAATGAACATTGTCGGCCTAGGGAGATCAAGCAGCTTCAAGGCTTAGTTTGCCTGGTTGGCAAACAGGATATGAAACTGGTGATTTTTGCTATTTTGCTTTTGCTATTTCATTAAAGGGACCTCAGCACAAAACCAGAGAATGATTCAAATCTCATTGCCATTAACGCAGCCTTCTAACTGCCCGAGGGACATGGAAATTACTCTCTTTTATAGAAAGGTGGTAAATTCTTTGAATGAAGGAATCCCAGGGAAATGTATCCAGGTGCCTTTTACAATAGAACTGACTCATGAAATGTAACTTTTTCCATTCAATTCCTTAACCTGTAGTGTGATTAAATTAATTAAGGTGATGGCATGTTTGCTGAACACTGTGCTGAGTGTTGCAGAGGATACCATGTTTTTCAGATTATAAGACGCACCTGACTATAAGATGGGCCTAAATTAAAAAAAAACTGGTTTTTTATTTCCGCGTGCCACATTTTCAGTCCTTTTTTGGCCCCTTTCCAGCCTTTTTTTCTATCCATTTTTGAGGGTATTTGAGGCTTATTTGTCCCTTTTTTGAGGCATTTCGGCCTCTCTTGGGGCCTTTTTTTGGTCCATTTTCCCCCAAAAATATAAGGACCCAAAAAATTGCCTCAGAACGGGCCCAAAAAAAAAAAGCCTAGAAAACGGTCTGGAAAAGGTCCTAAAACAGTGCGCACAGAATCCAAACAATGGCCGGTGGGTGGGCAGGGCTTTGGCAATATTTGTCTATAAGACGCAGACATTTGTGGGAGACAAAAAGGTGTGTCTTATAGTCTGAAAAATACGGTGTTTGTTCTCTGGCAAGTAAGTCTTTGTGGGCAGATTCCTACTTTTGCAAATAATTCTTCCTCTCCATAGGGACTCCTGATTGCCTTCGCCCTTCAGCGTTACCGTATGGGTGTCCAAGATTTTGACCAAAGTTACATCGACCCAGCTCCAGGTCCGACACCCCCCTACTCCAGTTACCCCAATGCCAGTCATGAGAGCTACCAGCAGCCACCCTTCACTCACACTGGAGAGAACTCTGAGGGCTACCAGCCTCCACCTGTGTATTGATTGCTACTAACACTGGTCAAAGCAGCTGGCAGGGATAGTATCCTAGTGCTTTGTATTCATTTCTTGTGGTGGGGACTATGTCTACTGTGAAATTGTGAGGGTGCCACATCCAAGATTGCTGGTTGTGCCTGTGTATGTATTGGGTTCTGGGATATTCTATTGTTTTCAAAACTTGCTTCTTGCAAAAAAAAAATGCTGTTTCTTTTGTGGGCACAGGAAGCTTGCTGTGTGACTTGCAAGGCATATTAATGGCTGAAACTGTATTGACTACTTGGTCTTATTACTGCTGCAGCCAACTAAACTGCTTGCTGGAAATTACACTAGAGGCATTTTGCAGCAGAGGAAGATTGTACTTCTACTGGATATGGCCCAATGGGATCCTTGCCACTGCTATCTGCCCAATGCTGTTACATCTGTGCCTTGGTGTGTTTGTTCATCTTGATCATTCCAGACCTCCAATGGGTCTGGTGTTCCTATGGCTCTGTGGTGCTACCCTTCCTGACTGGGAAACACCCATCGCAGTGATTTCTATCATTTCAGTTGCTGATACCAAAACCAATTAAACGCATTTCTAGATAAAGCTTGAGACGTATTGCATTAGTGATTCAACTGAATTTACCTTATCGTACCTTTCCTTTGGTTTAAAAGTGGGAAAGATTTGGCTTTGTGAAGAATTGTGAGACCTGTTTTAAGTATTCTATAGAGACCTACAGGTTTTCAATAATGTACCAAAGACACACTCACTCTTGCAAATTTTATTCTCCTAACCTTTCCTCAATCAGTAACAAATAGGAATGTGTGTGAAGTGGAAAACACACTGCTTTGAACCCAAACACTTTGTATTCTAGAAGGGCTCAAAAACACTAGTTGCAATACTGTCTTTTGATCAAACTCAAATCAGGAGGATTTTTCTGGTGAATAGAATAATAGGCATACTGCCTTCAATCACCGCCAATGCCAAAGCACAGGATATCCCATTGCCTCACTTCCTCTGATCTTTCCAGCAGTCCCTGCCCCAAAAGCACACCAGAGCCTATCCCCAATCTTTAGAATGCCTTCCCTCCCTCCCTGCTGTGACTGCCAGCCTCTGCATGTGGTACCACTCTTGCTCTATCTCAAGCCATCTGTATTTCAGTCCACCACTGGAACAAAAGAGACTCCCATTTCAGTCTGTAAGCAGACCAAGACATTCAAAATTGATGTATTTTAGTTCAGGCAGAAACCAGCTAAAATGGCTGTTCTGCAAACAATGATTTATACATCTCCATTAACAAGTCTTTCAGAGAATGGCTTTTTTGTATCCATAGCCTGTGGCTGTTAACACTATATTGTTTTCTAATTGTACGTTTTGGGAAACTTCAGGCAAATATTGCAATCTTGGGGCTTTGAAGTATTTTAAATCTTTTTGCTAGAGTAGAAGTTGAATTATAGTCATCTCCTGGAACATATTGTGGATTTTGATGTATCCTATAATTTTAGGACAGAGGACAAATACTTTAGATTACAGAAAGATTTAATAACTGGGCGAGGGTGTATTGTCTAGCATAACGACAGCGGTGGAGCTTTTAAAAAGCACGAACCCTTTTAGGCTAGCCTTTTATTGCCTGCTTTTTGTCTGGGGAAAAAAGTTGTATAGCTTTTGTGTGAAGATCATCCATACCAGTGATGGCAAACGTTTAGAGACCAGGTGCCCAAACTACAACCTAAAATCCACTTACTCATCGGAAAGTGACAACACGGCAATTTAACTTGAATAATGAGGTTTTACTACCTAAAAGAATGATAAACAACAGAATTCAGCTAATTGTGCTAAGAAAAATGTAATAAATGCACTTTTATGCCCTTTAGTTTTTTTCCTGCTTTTGAAATATTACGTTTAGCAACAATAAAAAAGAAAAACTTTTATAATATAATTTCTTTCTCTCTCCCATCTCTCCCTTTCTCTCTCCCCCCACCCCTTGGGGGAAAGAAACCTCTGAACTGGTGCTGGGTGGTGAGAATGACAACAGACCCAGGAGCAGCATGCCCATGCTCAGCTGGCTGGCAGGGAGGCAGGGCATCCCAACACAGGCAGCTCTGCAGGAAAAGCAACTGCTTCCCCCCCCCCCCCGAGCAGAGTTGCATTGTGGCTCCGCATAGTAATGGGCTTCAGGAGGGGGGGACCCCATCTCCCCCATTGTGAAGCATGTGAGTGAAAAAGTTCACTCAATCAATTCCAAGTTTGTGAGATCATGAAACAACTCGAGAAGTTGGAATTGAGTGAAATGCGAATGGAGCTAAGCTGCGGTGACTGCACGCATACCCAGAGGGCTCTGCGTGTCACCTCTGGCATGCATGCCATAGGTTCGCCATCACGGATCTCTAATGTTTTGGAATAACTAGGATAAGATTATTGGCATAATTATTTTTAAACTTCCCAGCATTTTCAGCTGTAATTTCCCTTCAATGAATGCCACACACATAGCTATTTCCTGATGAATGGTTTAATAGCTTTACATATTAGGGCAGTATAATGCCTGTTGTATCAATGGGCATTAATGAGGTGGTAGGGTAAGTGTAGAATACATTTTAAACCAGTAATAAAGTTCTCATCACTAAACTTAAATATTCTTCAGATAAACTGGTATCACTAAGTCCTACACATAAAACTTTTAAGTAAGTAAAATCTTTATTGCGGTCAAAGACCAGCAATACACATTATTTTTACACTATATTAAAAAATACTAACATTAAAATATAATTAAAAAGTATTGACATTAAAAGTGGATAATAAATAACATAATGGTCCAAAGATTGTTAAAGGTATGTCCAGATAATTTGTACAAGATGGTACTATACTCCTGTAGCCAATTTTTTTCTTATGGACATTGCAGCAGCACAGAACTTTGCCACTGCATACGTGGTAACCAGATTAGTGTCCTGGAGGAGAAAGCCTAGATAAAAATTGTCTGCCCTCCCTGGCAATTTCTCTAATAAGGGGAGAATATGTGCAGACCTACAAGCTCTGTATAGCTCGCAGTGTAATAGAACATGTGAATTATCTTCCACTTCTCCTTTACCACATATACAAATGCGTTCTGCTTATACCTGCCCTGGAGGAGTGCTGAAGGGAGAATGTTAAATCTGGCTCTGAAGAAAGCTATTCTTTGTTTTGGGAAGATCAGGTCATTTAGATATCTTGCAGATTCCCACACACCCTGATTAATTCTGTCCCTACTGTGGAGAGGCAACCTATTTAGTTCTTCTTGGAACTCCACGTCCCTCATTCTATTGATTACTACTTGCTTTGCTTGCTCAAAGCCTAGGGACATTAAGAATAATGGTGAGAGCCCATAAGAGCCCAGCTTGTGATCAATTGCCTATTTCCAGGGGGATGGGAAATTGTCAGTCAACACTAATGGGGACAGTCCCTCTGGAAAGAAATGCATTTTAAGCCAATAAATGATCATCATCTTCTTCATCATCTTCCAGGCTCTTACCTGAATGCCTGTCTCAATTCTTAACTGGGCATTTGGAGTTCTATTGGGTGCAGCTAAGATGGCTCGCAGGAATTTAGTTTGTATGGTTTCTAGCAAGTCTCTCTTTGCAAGGATTCCTGTTTGTGCCCCGTAGAGAATTTGTGCCAATGTTTTGGCCTCAAAAAGTTTTAAGGCAGCAGGTACTAACTGACCTCCACCTGTATAAAAGAAATGTTTGATTGCATTTGAGGACCTAATGGCTACTTGCAATGTGTGATCCAGGTGTGCCTTCCATGTCCCTAGCGAGTGGAAAACCACACCAAGATATCTACATGTTCTAACCTGTTCCAAACTATATCCTTCTATTTGCCAGGAGTATTGGCTTGGTCTTTTAGCAAAAACTAAAATTTTGGATTTATCCAAGTTAAGGACCAGCTTGTTTTGCCTCCAGTAGCCGAGTGTTGCCCTAATTGCTGTCTTCAGTCCTATGGGGTTTGTGAAATGATAGCGGCATCATCAGCAATATAAGAGAATTGGCACTTTGCATTGTGCTAGGTTAGGAGGATAGAAATCAGGGTTCTGTAAGAGATCAATCAGGGGATTAATATAAAAGTTGAAGAGGAAGGAGGACAGGATGCATCCCTGCCGTACCCCATTTTGTACCCTTACTGAGCCCGTTAAACTTCCTTGGGGATTGCAGATTTATTTTATTCAACACATCATTGATTAAAACCAACCCCTCGGTTTCCACTACAGAAGTTACTGCTTCTACTTCTAAGAAAACAGAAGCAAGACATGGGGGATGTTTTCAGTGTAAAAAGATTACCGGTACATTTACTTAAAAAGAGGAAATGCAGATACTCATTCCAAAATGCTAGGCAGTATGCTAGAAAGTATAAAGCAGGAATATAATACTTAAAACGACTTGACACATTAGTAGCCATTTAATAAAGTAGAATATATTTAAGTCAATAATGTAAGATGTCAAGTCTCTGTCCAGGAAGGTTAAAATGAAGGCTCTTAATTATAGGGGCTGGAAAAGGGCCTTTTTTTTAAAGTCGATCTTTACTTACAGGCAGATACACACAGCACCAAATAAAAATACATTTTGTTCAGTTAACCTATTCAGTCTTTACAGCCCAACAGCCTGTTTCATTCTAAATGATTTACCTATTGAATAGAGTAAGAATTCCCCTTCCCTCAAACCCCAATTTGATGGATTTAGAAAAACAATGTTCCAGTTTCATAGTGCAACTTGCTGTTAGTAAATTTATTTTAGCTATTACGGCCGTTAAAACTCTGAATTAAACCGTTTGGGGAAATTTTGTGCAAGAGGAAATGCCACTAATGACATTACAAAACCTTCCCTCTAGAGACTAAGAAACCAGTGCAATTCTCAATATAGAACATCCTTATTCATAGCATTATAATGTCTTCGAGCCTTGTTGCTCCTCATAAAAACAACTCTTTTTGATTTGTTGGAGGGACATCAGCTTAATACAAAGCTAGAAAGAAGGACAGGAAAATGTTTCCTCAAATCCACCTGGGAATCAGATCTCTTGCTTCCTTTGTTCAATTAGATGGACTCCATTGCATGATCTGACGAGTAGCCAAGACTTTCCTGGAGGCACTAATATCCAGTGGCTTATTCCCACCTAGCAGGTTCTCTTTGTTTTCAGATACCAACTGTTGTCGATTCTTGAAATAGCAGACCCGGCAGACTGAGTGATATTTATCTGCCCCTCCTATTACTTCCACCTAGTAGGATGAAATTTAAAAATGAAAGGTTTTGCTGTGCTCAACCTATAACAGGCAATATCTCTCACAGTCAATAGCTTTCAAGAAAGGGAGAGCTTTTGTTGGAGTCTTACCTCTTTCTCTGTTCCCAACCTTTTAGTGTAAGAGGCCTCACGATAACACTCCATACAAACAGCGTTAAGTTTCACGACACTCTCTGCTAAGGGGACCAGTTGTAAGATGTTTCCAAAAGCCTGAAGTCAAATCATGAAATATTTTGTAGATCTGGGACATAAACTATCCAGAAATTCTAATGAAGAATTTAAAGGGATTTACCTTTCTCTGAAATGTTCCATCGAGGGCTGCCACAATGACAGTCTTCCCTGCGTTGGCCATTGTCTCACAAAACTCAACTATATCTGGAAACTAATTGGGAAAATTAAAAGTTCATCATTCCCTCATTCAAGCCTTTAGAAACTGTAAAGCAATGTCCAAGATGCTGTTTTGTTGTGAATAAAGTTAGTGATGTTCCTCCAAAGAACATACGATCTATTTAGTTCACCAATCTGTACCCACTGGTGCATTAGATGCCTCTAGGAAGCTCACAAGCCAGAGTACAACATAACCCCCCCACTGAACTTATTTGGTAATTAACTTTTGAATATATGCTTTCTCCAATAATAATAAAAAAATAGTACATAGAATATAGCCTTTTAAATAAGCATTTCATTTTATTTGTTGCAATTCTATCATTCAGCTTAATTTGTAGGTTTTATAATTCAAAAGAATAAATTTGCACACTTCCTACGTAAAGAGAGCAAAATTATATTCTTTTGAATGGTATGTGTGTGTGCCCTTTAACTCCATGATATTCTTTTTCAGATGAATTGATCAAAATTCTACTTGTATTCCCAAGTCTGGTTGCATTTTCAATAAGTTTTGAGATTATGCCGTTAGAAGCATTTACATGGTATCCATAGCACAATTTTATCCAAGTCCTACTGAGTTTACAGGCTAAGCATGCATAGGATTGTATTTTAATCATTCACATTTGCAATCAAGTCAAGAGAACATAAAGATCTATCATATTGTCACTGTTGTCCCACATCTCAGAGGTAATATCAATGAACAAAATGGGTCTTACCCTACATAAGTGTGTATAGAATTATATTTCAAACTCGACTAAGCACGGAAACGATTATCAATACTTGGCAGTTCATTTAAACATTTAGGTAATATAAACTTACAAACTGGCCTTCGTCAATGCCAATCACAGCGGAATTCAGAGCCTCCTGCTGGACATCTTTGAGACAACAAGCTGACATGGCCCCCATGGTGTTTCTGTGCAGAAAGAACATGGAGAGTTGGAGGAACCTTGGAGGTCTTCTAGTCCAACCCCTGCTCAAGCTGGAGACCTTACACTATTTCAGATAAATGGCTGTCCAATCTCTTCTTTAAAATCTCCAGCGATGGGAGCACCCACAATTTCTGGAGGCAAGCCATTCCACTGATTAATTATTTTGTCAGGAAATTTCTCTTTAATTCTAGGTTGCATCTCTCCTCCATTAAGTTTCTGCTTATAAGATAAGTATCTGCAGCAGGTTAAAATTTATTTCAGAGTAACTATTCCCAAATACCAAAACCTGCAGATCCCTCCTTAAGACAGACAGCAACCCTCTGAATCCTAAAGACCATCTGATAGCAAACATTTTAATGAAGAGATTCAAATAAAAGATGTAGAAAAATGTTTTACCTTTTTGCAATTGTCTTATTTATTATGGAAAATAGATGACATTTTATAAAAATAAAATTTGAAGTTCTGAAAGGCTCAACCAATATGATAAATTAGGGGATCCCAATTTTAGCTTATTTAACTTTCAAAAGAACAAGTTATGTAAAGTGTATTCAATAACAATCATAATATTGAATCATAATTGATTCAATTATGAATTGATTTGGGGGTGATTTTCCTCACAAGAATGATTTTGCGATGAAAACATAACTGCACAAAGAAGTGCTCTGGATTATGCTAGCATTTAACTAACAAAACCTTTTTTATTGTTCTTGCAATTTTGTTTCCTCCCCCCAATGTGACAGCAGTCATTTCTTATTTATTTGTATTTTTAAATAAATATTAAGCTGTGTGTGTAAATGTAATAGCAATTGCACTTAATATACCGCTTCAGTGTTTTATAGCCCTCTCTAAGCAGTTTAGAGTCAGCATATCGCCCCCAACAATCTAGGTCAGTGATGGCACAGGTGGCACGCATAGCCATCTGTCAGCTGACTTCAGCCTTCTTTTGAGGCTGTTTTTGAAGCCTCTGGAGTGTGAAAAACCAGCCCTATGGGCAAACCAGAAGTTCAGGAATGGACTTCTAGTTTGTCGTAGGACTGTTTTTTGCCCTCCAGAGCCTTCAGGAAAGCCTCCTCAAGTCGAAAATTGGCCCTATGGACAAACTGGAAGTCACTTCCAGTTTGCTTGTAGGGCCATTTTTCACCTTCGGGAAGCTCCTGAGACCTCTGGAGGGCTTTTGGGGGGGCAGTTTTCACCCTCCCCAGGCTCCTAGAAAGTCTCGGGAGCCTGGGGAGGGGGAAAAACAGCACCAAAAGTGGAGAGGGGGGCAGTGCTGGTTGCGCAGACATGTGCACGGGGAGTGTCAACGCGCATAGCACTATGGCATGTCCGCGTACAACCCCTCTGTACCCTCCCCGCTTTTGGCACGGGAGCCAAAAAAGGTTCACCATCACCGATCTAGGTCCTCATTTTACCCACCTCAGAAGGATGGAAGGCTGAGCCAACCTTGAGCCTGGTGAGATTTGATCTGCCAAATTGCTGGCAGCCGTGATCAGCAGAAGTAACCTGCAATACTGCACTCTTAACCACTGCACTACCACAGTTCTTATATATAGGTATAGTAAAAGTTACAAATCATTGGGAATATATAAGGAAATGAACTTGCCTTATTTTTGTGAAACAATATCTTTTCATATATTAATAATTTCATATGCTTGTCTTTCATAATCTGTAAATTCTTTTTCTAGTTCTCTAAAAGCTCATGTTATGTCGAGACTTATATGAAGCTTCACCGTACAATATTAAAGGCCAAAAAAGTGTGTCAGATATATTGTATTCTGAGGCAATAACACAAATTGCTGTTTCTTGAAGATGCTAAAACAAAATCCACAAGCAATCAATATTACAGGACACATATGAATTCTGTTTTCCTAAACCCAAAAATGTATCTTTGTAAAGTGTTTTCTCCAAGTGATAAGCTATTGATTTACTTTGCTCATAGTATATTTTCACCTGTCATGTGTGGAGACTCCATTGACGCAATAGCGTGTATCTTTCGCATACTTGATTAGTAGACATTTATACTGTGCAATTTGAAATCGACGGACTCGGCGCATCAGTTCAGTGCTGAAAAAAAATTAAGATTCCATTGTGAGAAATGTTACTCAGAAAAAAACAAAAGTAATCAAAAAGTAAAATCTTTTTTATTCCATCATGGATCAAAGCTTCTTGCACTGCCCAAAATCTCAATTTTAATAATTTGGCCACATAACTTTGAAGTAATTGAACATCTAAACCCTTGGATAACATACTCCCTCAAGGTACCAAACCCATATCATTTCCAATTTAGATACTGTATTATTAGAAACAGAAAAAGATTGTAGTTACCGTAATTTTTGCCCGCTGCTTATCCCAGCCTCCTCCAGCATGTTATTGAAATTAAAGGTTAAACTTCTAAAATTCTTAGCCAAAATTTCAAAGAATAAGACAGTGGTACTCATGTTGCAATGTGCAATCTGTTCTTTATTTTTATTTATTTATATCCGGCTTCTATTATTTTTACCAATAATTCAATTCTCCCCATAACAAGAACCCTGTGAGGTGGATTGGACTGAGAGAGACTGACTGGCTCAAAGTCACCCAGTTTGATTTTCATGGCTAAAATGATCTCAGCCCTACTTTTAATTCCTAGTCTACTGAACTAAGGAGAAGCCTGGGCTCTAGTTGAATATGACCAGGCCTGCAGATTGCCTTGCTCCTCTGCAGCTTCTCCCCCTCCCCCAGCAATGTATTTCTCTTGAAGCTCCCGTCTTCTTTTCTAGTCATAATCTTAGCATCTAGATACCAGTGCTAACTATTTTTAATGCCTTCATACCTTTTTCCAGAGAACATGGGTCCAAAGATGACCTGCCATAAGAGGAAAAAGAAAATGAATAGTTACCAGTTTTTCCACTTTCCGCGTGACCTACTTCTCTTTCCCCTCCCTAATTTTAAAACTTTCCATCCTCAACTAGAATGCGATTTTTAAAAAATGCTTAAAGCGGATCGTCCTGCCCTGTACCTGTATCTGGCCGCGGCCCTTCTGCGGGGATCCTGGCTGCACCCTCGGCATCATCATGCAACTCATAGCAGCACCGACCTGGTCTCCACCGACTGCCCTGCTCCCAGAGTGGAATCCCCAAAAGGCGGCTTTTTCTTTCAGGCGCGCGCGGGGTTTTCGTCTACAGTAGAGTTAGCTGACCAATCGGGACGGTTCCCACCAGTCATCTGGCAAATCATGAAGAAGAAAGAAAGAACTTTTCGGCCAATCACTAACAAGGCAGGACATTTTTTTCCCCTTTAAAGTGCTTTTCGACATTCCTGCTAGACGATTTATAAGGAACTTCCAACGTGCGTTGTGAAGCAAGCCAAAGGGGGAAGGGAAGAAAGGAGATCTCCGAATTTGCTGATCTATTGCTGTTAATGTTCTCTTTGCTTTTCTAACTGAGCACCGCCTACTTTTGTTGCAAGAATTTTCGTTTTAAAGGGATCTTTTTCTGTCGGCAAAGCATTCAACCTCCCCAGCCTCTAATTGATAACTTGAGATTTCAATTGCTTTTGTCAGAAAATCTGGAGAGCATTAGTTTGAGGAAGGCTGTCGGTATGGGGCAGGCTGCTTGTTTCTTTAGGAACTGAGGATTCAGAGATTCAAGAAATTCAATGTCACAGAAATAAACTGAAAATAATTAGAAATCTAGACTGGGTGAAACTAGGCTTAATAGCAGTAACTGTGAGAGGGATCTTAGAGTGGATAACTCCAAGTGGATAACCAATTAAATATGAGCCAACAATGTGTGGCGGCAGCAAAAAAAAAGCCAATGCAATCCTATGCACAATCAAGATCAAGTGAGGTTCTAATACCATTCTATAAAGCCTTAGTAAGACTACACCTAGAATACTGCATCCAGTTTTGGTCACCACACTATAAAAAAGATGTTGAGACTCTAGAAAGATTGCAGAAAAGAGCAACCAGGATGATTAGGGGACTGGAGGCTAAAGCTTACGAACGGTTGCAGGAACTGGGCACAAGTAGTCTAATGAAGAGAAGGACCAGGGGAAACAATAGCAGTGTTCCAATATTTGAGGGGAAGCTACAGCGAGGAGGGGGTCGAGCTATTTTCCAAAGCACCTGAGGGCCAGACAAAGAATAATGGATGGAAACTGAACAAGAAAAGATTCAACCTGGAAATGAGGAGAAATTTTCTGACAGTGCAATCAATCAGTAGAACAACTTGCCTTCAGAGGTTGTGGGAGCTTCATTATTGGAAGCTTTCAAGAAGAGATTTTTTTTTTAAAGTAATCTTTATTAGTTATACATTTTTTTAAGAATAAAACATACAAATACAAATACAATTTTAAACATACACCCCCCCCCCCCCCCCNTGAAATTATGATTATAAATGAGATGTATAAAATGTGACCCAGTCAACACTCTGTCCATAAAGTATGTAGGAAGGGGGGGGGGGGGGGGGAAATGCAAAAAAAATTTTTTTTTAAAGGAAGGTGTCATAGGACCAACCAAATCAGCATGAACTAATTGTAATATCCTGTTTGTAGTTCTTGTACTCTTCTTACTTACAGGATACAGTTTGGCTTTTGATTCCTTACACACAGTACAATCTAAATATACATTACATTTCTTTAACTTCAGTCTCTCAGCTATGTCTGGCATCTTTTTCAATACTTTAAAACTTGCATGCCCCAATCTTCTATGTAACAGGTATATACCAGGGGTGGGTTGCTGCTGGCATTACTGCCGGTTCGGTGCACGCGCAGTCACTAAAATCCAAAATGGTGGTGGCCAAGTGGCAGTGAGGGAACCGGTTCGAGGGCGTGGCAGGCCTGGGTTGCTGCTGGTTCTGCGACCCAGGCCTGAATTCCACTACCGGTTTGGCCAAACCAACAGTAACCCACCTCTGATGCAGTCCCTCTGCGTTATGGAGCAAGAAATCCTTTTGTAGAAAGAAAATGTAAATACAAGGTCAGTTATCCCCATAAGTTACTATCTCCACAATCTGCTACGTCCAGTCTTCCACAGGTATTCCCTGGAGGATTGCCAGATGGGGTTCTCTAAGGTATAGCTAGCCTATAAATGCATTTCAAATACATGGAACATCAATAAAAAATACACATAATAAATGAAAGCATACACATAATTACATACATACAAACCAATACCCAAATGATCACCATCCCACTGTTCTGTTAAGCTAATATAGCATCAAGCCAAGGACAAAATCAATTAGTCATATGGCAGTCCAATGATGCCAATCTCGTTGTAGCTGAAATGGTGATCAGTCTGTGCAGCATCTGTAGTAATCAGCAGGAAAAGTGTAACCAAGTTCATTGTTGTACAGTTTTCAGTAGTGTGGAGAACTGTTCCCAAAGTGGTTGTAGTTTCTCTGCACATGTTCCTATCAAAATCTACTGAATCAAAAGATAATTACTAAACATTAGTTCCAGGGAGCTAGGGTTCTATTAGCACTCACCGCACATCTATTAATATTTCCTGTAAGGTTCCATATTGATGTTATCAAGCATTTACTGTTCTGTTGCTATAGCTGTCAGTTACATCCACCAGCAGAAAACAGGTTCTTCCTTCAAGATATGCAAACCTTCTCCCCTGTGGGTTCACTTGGATAAACTAGGTGAGATGCACAGCTTCCCTTGCTTGAATGACTCATGGTCAGACAGGAGATGAATCAGCTGTTTAAAAAAAACTTTTTAAAAGTCATAAATGCCATAACTGACTTGGGCTGTTTCCAGCCTTGGAATCTGATAAGACACCTGGACATCAACCTTTTGCTACAGGTGCCAGAGAAGTCAAAGGCACAGTGAGTGCAAACCAAGGCTCACCAGAACCCGAAGTGTCCACCTTCATTTTGCCATGATTCCACATATTCCTATGATCTTGTTGATAAAATACCTTTAAATGGTTCAATGTCAAAGTCCAAACAGATTAATTCACAATGTTAGGGATGGAAAATAAAATCCAACTAGCCATGGTTGGCTCTTGAATCTTGATAGGTGTAATCATGCAATGTAAGAGAAAGCTGCTAGGCAGACTTGCCCTCTCTTTTTAGGAATACAAATCAGGAGAGATCAGCATATCAGCATAACTACACAGCATGCTCCCATACAAGACTGGGACCCACCATTGCTTAATGTTGTGGCCCAGCAGGATGCGGTTGAGCTGCTGATGGACTCGGATAGCGAGGAACCATATGAGTCTGCCCTGGATGATGTGGAGGACCCTGGGCAGGGTTCAGACTCAGAGCAGGGAGGCTGGTTGGCCACCAGGAGGCGCCTGAGGCATGGAGCAGTGGGGAGGATCAAAGGCAGTTTGTCCCTGATGCTAGATTGAGAAGGGCTGAGAAACGGAGGAAGCAGCAACTCCGTAGGCAGACTCACAGATGATGATTAAGCACAGGTGTTTGTGGCTTGGTCCCTCCCAAGAGAGTTTATA